CCCGATCCTGCCTCATATGAATCGACAAGATGGACAACAGATGGGTATACGACAAATCCAACAAATCCAACGTTCTGTGATGGTACTTTCTCACCACGAATGATGATGTGCCATCGTTCAGCTGCCTCACATCCGTCTTCCTTAACTTTGTTTCCTGCAAGGCGATTACATGATAGTTAATGCGCCTTGCAGCTTCGAGAAGCGCGTGAAGATCGGCGTTGGTGGAGACTGTCCTGGGTTGTAGGTGCATAGCATGAGACAATCACCATGGCGAGTCGTCGACGTGTACTTTTGGTCCGAAATCCATGCCTTCCTGTGCAAACTGACACTGGTCTTGATGACATCCGACGCCGTAGATTTGATCCAGTGTGTAGGGCTTCTTTTTCTCTTACATGCTGTACAGGCAATAAGTAAAAGAAGTCTCCCCAAACGTGCAGTGCCTTGCCGCGGCCCTGCTAAACTTTCACCACAGGCAATCCCTGACCTTATGTGGATCAGGGAGACATGTATCACATAGCAACTGAATCAGCCAGACAGTGGTGCTTCTGGCATGGCCTACTCATAGCTGGGCATCCGGGGAACAGGAAACGTCGAACTTTTTCTTAGCTTGGGAGACCCTGCTGAAGGATAAACCTCTGTACTTTGCAGTTCAACACCCAGAGTCACCCCCGAGCCATGATGAGGCGGTAGACCATCACGGGAGCTTATGAACAATAGCACAGTCAATTCCGTTACAAAACGAAAATTCCCGTATTTTGTCACAACCAGCTGTGAAATGTAGTACAATAACGTTTCATAAATTTGCGTAAGCTAACGTAATTTTGGCAATGCGAAGTTCCTCATTTCAACTTCGATAATTTGAAAAGCGCCCTTTGCACAATAGATTTAGTATGAATCAGCGATTTTGAAAAAATAACAATTTGCATCTTATTGACTGATTGATGCAGTTGACACTACAAATATTTTCAAACTTGTTAAATTACGAGCTTTCTGCCACTTCCTTCCCTGTACAATTTTGTTCGAGCTTCAATTTCTCAAAATGAT